TTAGGGTAAGGACAGAACTGATCGCTACAGAAATCAAGTTCTATAATGTTTAGGAGGTAAATCCTCTCAGCTTCCCTCCCAACCCCCAATAAACTCGCCTGTCACAGCCTCCCCGAGACCAGCCCTTCTACCTATTTTCCAGAACCCGTCTCCTTCTTTCTCCAGGGTCTCAGTCCACTTGTCATTTCTGGTCTCCTCTGGAGCCTTTGTCTCTCTCTTTGTTTACAGGCTCCTTCCCTACAAGCATGCTCAAGTCTCATCTTTAGAAAAAAGCTTTCCCTTGGCCTAGTGTGCTGCTGCCTTCCTTATCTCTACAAACAGTGAAAGGATTCCTCTACATTCATTATCTTTATTTCTTCACTCCCATTCATCATTCATTTTGCAACCCAGTACAGCCTGGCTTCCCACCAGATATCTGTAACTAAACTGTACTTACTGGGTTCGCCAATAATGCCATGACGCCACGACCCACTGGGTCTTACTGCAAGCATTTAACAACTTGTGCTTTCTGGAAACTCTCTTCCCACTTGACTTGTCCAGTCTCTTGTTCCTCTTGCCATGGCAATAATTAATTCCTCCTCTTGTGTGTGTGTGTGTGTGTGTGTGTGTGTGTGTGTGGTGGTGGTGGTGGTGGTGGTGGTGTGTGTGTGGTGTTGGTGTGTGTGTGTGTGGTGGTAGTGGTGTGTGTGTGTGTGTGTGTGGTGGTGGTGGTGTGTGTGTGTGTGTGTGTGGTGGTGGTGTGTGTGTGTGGTGGTGGTGTGGGGGTGTGGGTGTTGAGAGGAGGCTGCGGGGGTCTTTCAGTGATTGGTTCTTCCTCTCCTACCTAGTATCCCTTCAAGTGATGATATTCCCAAGGTTTCTTTTTTCTTTTCTTTTCTTTTTTTTATTCAACTTTACAATTTCTGCTTTCCCTGAGCAAATTGCCTTTCTCTTTCTGGAGGAATTCAGTATTGCTGAAAGCCTGCGGAAATGGTCCTCAGATAGACCTGTCTTTTCATCGAGTTGGGTTGGATTAGAGCTCCAGCCCCCAGCAAGTGAGGGAATGTTTTAATTTTTGTAATCTGGGTGGGGACAGGAAAGAGGATTTTGATGCTTCCCCATTTTTACCGCAGGAGGGTAATGCTGAACACTTGTAAAACAAAGTGTGTGGCAGGCAGAAGACTGAAGTGAGAAACACCTGCCCCACGCCATGAAAACCTCTGTGTGCCTTTCCCCATCCTTTCCTCCTTCAGCCAACTGCTCATTCATTAAAACTCAGTTCAACTCAGCTGATACTGTCTCCCGGCAGCCTCTTCAGATAGCCTGTCATATGCCTTTGAACTTTAAGATACAGACCCCTATTTTTGAGGTTTCTACATCATTTCATAATCATCTGTTGTGTATAGAATGTTCCCACTTTAGGTCCGATAAAATTTTCCACTTACCTCTTGTAGGGACCTGGTACACGGGCAGGTGATTGAGCAGGCGGTCAAGGTCTCCTGGCTCCATGGGGACGCTGCTTATCAGACAGCCAGTGCTGTACGCTTGCTGCCAGTCAGGGTCTACTGGCTTCTTGGGATGCTGTGTGCATGAGAGCAGGCATGCAGGGCCCACCAATGATTTCTGCCATGGAGCACTCTTTGTTTTGTGGGACCTATATAACCTTGCTTCTTCTCGGCCTGAGTACGGAGCTCTACCCTTCCGGCCGGCCGTCACCGGAAACTCCCCCTGGTCTGTAAGTCTTAATAAACCTTGTCCTGCACTCAGCCACCTGGTGTGTTCTTTGGGCTTGCTGCTTTTCAGGCAAAAATCTTGGGAAAACTTGGCCTCAGTTCGAACACCCTTTTAGTTCTTCTGGCTGGTTGAATAATTCAAATGACATATAGCAGATTAAAAAGAGAAAATCAAATGTTAATCTGTGTGCATGGGGAATTCACAGAAGCATGAAAATTCCGAAGAAGGGCCAAAATGAGGTATATAAGTCATTTGGACCAAGGAGGGGGAGGTAGGCAATTCACAGGTAGATGAGAAAGAGCAAACATTTGATCAACAAATTCTTACAGGGCCATCCAGAAACAATGGGACACAAGGGGCACTCTAGCTAGCAGATTTTTGCTTGGGTCCTCCACATGCCACACTTAATTCAAGCATGCTCAGGTGAATATGCTAAGGTGAGTATTTAAGTTTCCCTTCCTGAAGCAGGTTTTCCTATATGAATCTCTTTAAGCAGGTGAGCCTGAGGTTAAAAAAAAAACAACAAGACCTCTTCTTGAGTTTGTTTGGCTTTCATTGTTTTTAGCTTGAAATAGTCTGCGTGCCAGGGTGGCACATTCTGGGGAGACTCTCTCCTGAAACACCCCCACCCCCGCCTCCACATTTATGTTTCTCAAAAATAGGCTCTTCTGCTTTAAAGGTTCATCCTTGTATGCCCAATGCTTCGACCAGTCATGACCAAATGGGTACTTAGAGCCTTTAATCGACCACCAGCTTTCCAGCTGCAGCTTCAGTCAGACTGAATCATCCTCTACATCAGAAGTTGCAACTAGTGGGTCTTAGTCCAGATTTGGCCTGCAGACATGTTTTGTTTGGTCTGCAACTTAAAAAAAAATAAAAATTTTAAATTTGAATCAATGCTTTAGAATGAGAGGATTTCCCAGAAAAGTTAAAGCCTCAGAGAAAGTGCAGAGAACTATGAAAGCTTAAGGAGAGATGAAAACTTGGGGAAATGGAGGGAACCAGACAAGATAAATCCTTACCTATGTAAGTTCTCAGTCCATCTTTGTATTCTTCTAACATGCAGTAGAGTCTTTACATATAATAGGTGACTCATTAATACTTGTTGAATTACAGTTATATGACCTTTGGTAGTTTCTTACCACAAACACTGAGGCTTTTCTGTAGAAGAGGAGTTCTGCAGTAGTAACTCTCAGGTGATTTGCACAGTGGTCTTAAGTGCAAGTCATATAATTTGCATGCCAGTGAAGAAAATTAAACCTGCATTTAAATGCACACACAAACTTTACGATGTTTTAAAAATACGACCATAAATTTTCATGCAAGTAAATGTTCCATGAAAATCCCCCCCCCCCCATAATAGGAAGGAGTAGAGCAGGATTTGGAGAGGAGAATTTTAGAAACTGTCAGGATGAAATGACCATCACTGGAAAAGGTGGAGAACCACTGATGTAGAATAGAAACCTTTGGATATGGGAAATGAAGCAGGTAGTGAATTACAATAGATGCTCTAAGTATTTAATGTGGTTACTTCGAGTTGAAAGTTGACCACATGCTAAGTTATTTATGTGTATGGGGTATCAGTGTACTATGACTTTTCCCCAGCCTCCTCCACCCCCTTTGACATAAGCATACAAATGAACTTTTTAGAGATAATTATTTACATCTGTTGAACATGGCATAATCTCAGGACTTGGTAACCAGTGTGGTGCTAATAACAAATGTACGGCGATGGGGGAAAATGGTGGTCTCGGCTTTGCTAGAAACACTGGACTATCTATCCCTGGGCTCACATTTCCTCATGCTCCTGGGTGACGTATAATAATAACAATAACCACCTTGTATAAGGCTTAGTTTGTGCCAGGTACTGTTCTGGGTGTTGTTGCCTTTTGTTTGTTTTTCACAATGGTTTTATAATTCAGTGTTTTGCAATTCTTTACCTCTCAGGGTATATGTACACAATGACGATATTTATATGGGACACTGAGGTAAATGAATCAGGAGCTTGGCTGCCCAGGGGCTAAGGGATTTGTATAACAGGACACCCATCCATTCTCTCTTCGAGGCAAACAGGTGTGCCCCATGCACACTGCTGGAAAGCTGTATTATGATAGATTGCAGACTTTATACAGTCTTGATTCCTGCTAGTAACATTGCTTCCTTGATCATATGATGGCATTAAATATTTCACTAATCATCAGTGTTCTGTTTCATATTCTACAGAAAGGCACTGTTACTCTCCAGCTGTTACCCTGCCTGAGATTTGAGAGCCACTAGAAGATACAGTATTTAAATTCAGGCACCTCTACCAGTCAAGTTTCCAATCACTCTTGGATGCTTCTAGGCCTCTCTAGTTTGACCAGTCACTGGCTTCCTGACAGCTTCCAAATCTCCAGCTTTGAAACACAGCCATTAAGTCTTGCAGGGAGGTCAGTTTTATAAGTGTCCTCAACAGGAAGAGCTTTTATAAGAGGTGAAAAGAGGGGAATATACTCCACGGGTTCTTTCCTGAGTGGATGGCTTGGGTCTCTTCTCTCTATGCTCTGTCTCCAACCAAATAAGTTCCTGTGAACACTTAATGCTGAGCTCAATGCCCTTGGGGCTCGAAGGGGAAGAGATGGTAGGCAGTATGTTCTTTGCACATTTCTGAAAAGCTCCTAGTTATGTCTAAGTTGGCCTGCTTCTAAATGCCAGGGCTGCAGGTGACTGCTCCTTCCCTCTCACAGCCTCAAAACAACCTTTCTCCTAGTCTCAAAACAACCAGACACACTTCAATATATAAGCTTAAAAACACTTTAAAAATACTTCCAGTAAATATTAAAACTTTTCTCTCTCTTATTTGCATTTAAATAAAGCATTCTTCTTCTACTATGTATGTATTGTCATTGGAACTGTGATGTGCTGATCTAAGGGGAAAAAAGGACTGAAACCTGGAATTTGCAAGTTCAAGGTTTCAGTCCCAGATCTGCCACTTATCCAGCCAAATGGGCACGTTTATTTAATTTCTACGCCTTCTTGATAAGATGGGACTGATGATACCTGCTCCGTTCCCCTCTCAGAGCTGATGTGAAGATCAAAGGAGATCTCATGCATGCACATATTTTGTAAGCTCTAAAAGCAATAGGTAAATACAATTTGTTATTGTACTAAAAGTCACCAGTGAGTCCTCAGCTGCGGTAGCAGTTGCTTGTAAGAATTCAGTGAGTGAGAGTTGGTGAGTGTGGCTCTGGGGATGACAAAGCTCACATGTGCTGTTCCTCTTTCTCTCCTCCACCCCCCACCCCCAGAGTAACCTGATTCACTGCCTGGGCCTGAGCCATCACCTGCTTGCACTGAATTTCATCATCCTTTCTTTCGGCAAGAAAAGTGCCTGGTCCTCTGCTCGGGTGAAGGTGACCGACACTGACTTTGACAGTGTGGAAGTCAGAGTGTTTGAAGGCTCCCCAAAGCCAGAAGAGCCACTGAAACGCAGTGTGGTTTATATCCATGGAGGAGGCTGGGCCCTGGGAAGTGCAAGTATGTCCTGTCACCTCCAGGTTGTTTGGGGTTGTGGTTGGTCCTAGGAGAGAGGTGTGTGCAACTGAGTTTGACTTTCTGATTGGATAAGAAGAGGCGGGGGGGGGGGGGCACTTGACTTGCTTTTTCTGGACAGTCCCAGGTACCCCTACTGTCCCAACAAAATTATCCTGATTTGGATGACTATTGCATTTCATCAGAAACCTGATTTAAATTCTGCATTTGTACATGTAACTCTATTAATGAGACATATGTTCACATTTGCTTTTTTATTATTTTTATTATTAATAACTTGTGTCCAAGTCAAAAAGAAATCCACCATTAGCAGAATTTAAGAATGGACTGTATTAAATAACTTATTTAATAGTGATACCCCTTTGTTTCTTTTAGAAATCAAATATTATGATGAACTGTGTACTGTGATGGCTGAGGAACTGAACGCTGTCATTGTCTCCATTGAGTAAGTAATTAATACTAGTCATTAAAAAAAATGTTTAAGAAGGGGTTCTAGATAACCATCTAGTCTCTCTGTTTTACAAGTCACAAAATAAAGTATAAAATAAAGATCCAGAGAGGTCAGGTGATTTTTTTTCCAGGTTACACAAAATGATTTCTGATATAACTTAGAATTTCTTGAAATAGCTGTAGATTGCCTCAGATTATCTTTTTATTTTAGTTTTGGAAACTTCTGGAAAAGAAATTGACTGAAATGGAGAGAAGTATACAGTCAGTTATCTATTGCATATAAGTTTGATTACAGCCTTTTTTTAAAACTAAAAACCAATCAGCACTTGAAGAAAACCTCTCCTATAACCAAGAATTGGAAAAGTTATTCTCTTGGGCCAGGTTCTGTAACTCAGACCTTGTAAATTGTCACGTGTTCAACAAATCTTAGTTGATTAGTTGTTGCTGTCCTCATTAGTAGTAGTATTGATATCGATGTTTTGAGTTGTTTCTACCAGTTCTGTATTAGCCATCTTTTCGGGACCTTAAGAAGAATGTGATTGATACTTAATAACAATTGTGGTGATAATAATGATACAAAAACCACAGTCCCTGTTCTGTGGCAAACATTGTGCAGGTGCTGTGGCAGACTAGTCTCTCCTCTTTCCTATCTTTGTTCAGATGTCCTCTTTTCAGCAAGGCGTTCCTTGACACACCCCTATTTACAACTGCAACCCACTTTTCCTCTGCTTTATGTTCCTCCAAAACTTTCATCAATATTTGACAGACCATGTGTTTCACTTATTCTGTATTTATTGTACTGGGTGGAAACAGACAATGCACATTTCATGAAGGCAGAGATTTTAGAGATTTTTATCTCTTTTTTGCATGGCCGATCGTTGTGCCTGGAGACATTCCTGGCAGGTAGTGGGCATTCTATAAATATTTGTGAAATGAATGAATAGTGTTGCTTAATTCTCATGTAAATCATCCAAAATAAATATTTTGTCATTTTCCTCATAGATGAGGAAATGGAGTTCAGTAAACTGCATGAGGGCACATAGCTAGGTAGTCACGCCGATGGGGTGAGGCGTTCAGCCAGGTCAAGTTGCTCCCGAGGCCCCTATACTCTTTAGACCCCATATCAAGTCAATATTGAAGGAAGCTGATAATGCTGAGTGACAGGTTCATAGCAACAGCAGTCACTTTCCATGCCCCGAGCTTATCCAGCTCTCCCCTTCCCTCTGCCTCTCTCTGCTATCTTCTCTCCCATTCATGGCTCATCTCCTCCTTGCCCCCGATCCAGATCTGAGACCTAAGAGAATCCTTTCTACTGATATCCCTTAGAGGGGCTGGACCTCTGAGTCGTTGGGGCAGCGCTGACTGTGAGCAGAAGCTTTAGAGTCACACAGGGGGGTGGTGTGACTGCTTCCTCAGCAGATTTGGCTACCGACGGCTCTGGGCAGCTCCCAGTCCTCTCAGGAAGGCCTCCCAGGCCACTCAAGGGCCCTTAGGAAGTTTTGTAATGCAGGAACCTTCAAGTAAATGATTAGGTCATTGGGCCTGGGCAGCTGGCCAGAGGAAAGCAGGTGCTGTTTAAGCAACTGAGCTCCATTATATGGAGCAAGGCCCCACAGCTCGGTGCTGGGGAACCAGGTTCAGGGCCCCTTCCGTGGTTTGCTGTGTAGCTCCAGCTCCTCAAAGGCCTGAGGAAAGGAGGGTCGTTGGACTTACTTTACTTGGCACCACGAGTCTTCTCCACACAGGCCTCACCCTCCAGGGCTTCAATGTAAGCAACTGGCAACATGCCTAAGCTCCTCCTGCAAGCCCTTCTTCACCTGTCAGCGTCTGTCTCAAGTGAAACAGGTGTTCTTGGGCTTATCATAAAATATGCAAGGATGGATGAGATGTTTTTAAGACTTTGAAAAAGTACTAAAACATAGCACTGCTTTCATCTTAACTTTCCACTGTGCCTAATCGATACAATGTAGCATCCAGAAGTTTATCACCTAGGAGGCCTCACGGCACAGGGCAAGTCCCCTTATTCATGACTGTTGACCTCAGGCAAGTCATTTAACCACATGTGCAAAATGGGGTTAGGACTCCTTCCTGTGTGTCTAGAATGTGGACTACTGGGAACAGAAATCATGCCTTCTTTCCTTTGGGTCCCCATCCCCCAGTACGGGACTTAGAACATGTATGCTAGGTCAATAGGTATAGCTTGAGTTGGGCTAATGATTTTAAGAGTTGTCGTGAGAATCAGTTTGGACCATTGAGCTAAAAGGGCTTTAGATACCCCAAAAGTACTAGACAAGTCTGGAATATTAGTGCTCTAGCCCGTAGGTTGAAAGGTCCAACTTATAAATTTATTTATCAACATGTGCTTGGAACTCACAGCACTTCTCTTTGCGGAAATAATGACCTCAGATGCTTAGGAACCAGTCCAGCTAGCTCACAAAGAGCCACATAACCTATGCTCTAGTTGACGCATAGCCAACATCATATGACCATGATGTTTCTCTTGGAAAGCATATTCAGAGGTCTAACCTAGGAACATATTCCTTCTCACTGCTCTTTCCTCTTAACTTTACTCCATAAATATCTGTTGAATTCCTATTATGTGTCAATTAGTGTGTTAAATTCTGGTGACATAACAATATAGGACAGACATACTTCCTACCCTCAAGGAGTTTACAATGTAGGTGAGAAAACAGACCTTGAAGAAGTCATGTTAAGTGTGGTAAGCGATGTAAATTAGAAGGGTAAGTAGTAGTGGAGGCACCTAGTAGCTAAGATTTTGCCTAGTTTGAAGGATCAGAAAAGGTGTCTTAAAGAGTGTGGTATTTGAATTGAGCTCCTAAAGATGAGTAGACCCTAGTTAGACAAAGTGAGTTGGTCATGGAGGTCCCCTGTGGTATAATGAGAGGGCTTCGGAGGAAGGGGAGAAAGCAGAGAGCATTAAGGGAATAAAACATGGGAGAAGACAGATGGAGGGACTTAGATTTCTGGCAACGACTAAGGAAAATAAGAAATGAGGGTAGATAATCCTGAGTCTTCAGGAGGGTGGTAGGCTCTTGGTTCTGCTGGAATACCACCTTCTCCTAGCAGAGAGGCTGTCTGGACACAGCTGTTCCTTATCCTGGAGGCCCACAGGAGTGGGTAGTGGTGTCATAATTTTGCTTCATGTGGGGTGTGGCCTCCAGGAAAGTTATCTGAGGAAGCAGGCAAGCAAGGGTTGAGGGCAGCCCTTGTAATGGAATCACCTCACATGAAGCGAGCATCAGGAGTTGGAACTGCTCAGTTCATGTAACTGGTACTGGCTTAAGGCTCTAGGGTCAGACCCAACAACCCCAGGGTAAAAAAAAAAAGGCCATCCCTTCTACTCAGTAGCTTCTACAACACTATGCTATTTTACATATTAATTGCATGATCAGTACTTGTTAAATAACTGAAAAAAGCGTACCTCATAATCCCCAAGATATATGGCTGTATCCTCATTTATATAACCTAGGAAGGTCCTAGTTTATATCCATAAACTTATTTTCATCAAGTTCAGTGCAGCTGAACTATATCGCATATATAATACGTTTTTTTTTTGTTTTTTTTTTACCTGTAGTTTATATAATAAGACGCAATACTAGGACTGGAAGACACATGGGAAAGGAAGATTTAATTTCATTTTTAAAAGAAAAACTGCAAGAGAATAACAAAGCAGGCATCTTGGATATTATAGTCTATTTAATAAATTCTATTAAATTCTATACATGTTCTTAAGTTCTAGAAAGCATTTATGTTGCTTTCTTGGGTGCGGGAAACTTTCAAGTTGTGTTCTGCTTTTCGTTAAATCTTATGACACACATAAAGTGTCCATTTTATGAAAGTGGAGATTCGTTCCCACTCCCTCGAATGTCAGGTGGCACTATGCACAGAGAACGTCAAGTTTTTTCCAGGCTGGGAAGAAGAATGTTGCTAATGTAGACAGAAAAGAAGCTAAGGCACTTATCTGAGTTTGTTACTAAGAGTTATAAGCAATGGGACACTTATGCCTCTTTTTTATTTGTTTGTTTCCCATCCATAAAATTAGATGAGTACAAGCTGACAAAATCACAGTGCTTTTAGGGGGCACGATATAGCTCACATCTTGATAAGTCGTACAAATAAGATACTCTGAAAAACAAGGAGTGACAGTGATCTATTAATAGCTGTGACTTTCCCTCTGCTCCTTTACCTGCCTCAGTCCTTAGCAGAGAAATCCTCACACATCGCCCCCCACCTAGGCTGCCCTGAAAGGTGGGCAGACCAATTCCTAAGGGTTCCCTGATCAGAAAGGGAAGATTTGCTCAAAACTTTCCTTTTACTCGGTCCAGGCCAACCTTAGCATACCCAAAGGAAAGCCAGCATCACAAATAATTCAGTACTACGGAAAGATAATATTGTGGCTTCCCTTGAGAAGTAGGCTGTTTTATTTTCTCCACGCTCATTAACTTCACAAATCTCCTTTTCGACATATTTAACTACTGTCTAAGTGGTTCCAGTTTCTCCTAACAAAAATCCACTCTCTTGTGCTTTTAGAATTTCTGGGGGGGATACTGGACCTTTACAAAAAGCCCATAGAGAACACCTATGCTCGTAAATTACAGGGAGGTTGTGAAGCCTAGTGCCACCCACTCCTGAGCCCTACAGAGCTATGTTTAGCTTCTGAAAGGACATGAGAAAGGAGACCTCTGCGGGCTTCTGCAGCCACCTGGGGGAGTGTCCTGCCTCTCTATTTACCCTTGAGGTTAGAGGCGAGGTTCCCATCTGAATGGGAGGAGGCAGTTTAGATAAACAGAGCCTGGGGATCTCCTTGCTGTGTCCCGAGATATGGCTCAGAGTCTTGAATGGTGAACAGTCTGAAACTTGCGTCCTTGGAATGGCTCGCAGTTCTAGGTCCAATCACCCATAGGTTTTGGTGAAGCCTCCGGACAGCATCAGTTCTTTTGAATGTCATTCTTACCCAGTCAGCCAGGCCCTTGC